ATAATGTTAGTTTTTAAGTCCCAACGGGCGCCCGTTGGGTCTTCTTGCGGGAAAGCCCTGCGCGGCTCTTTGGCAACCCAAGGGGGACACCCGCGTCCCCGTCTCCCACCACCCGTTTTCTGCTCCCGCCCGGGTCCCCCCCCCCGGGGGAGGTCCCCTCCTGGGGGGGCAGTGCCCCGGGGGAGCCCCCGGCCCGGCCCCGCCGTGCGCTGCCGGCGCGGGGATGCTGCGGGAGCAGGGACCGTGCCGGGTGCTTCGTCCCCTCCCGGTAGAGTCTGGTCCCCGTCCCGTTGGTGCCGGCACCGCCGTCCTCTGCTCGGGAACGGGCTCTGCGGGGGTGGGTGGGATGGGGGGTGTCCTTTGGGAGGTGTCGAGCTGCAGAATCACAGAATGGTTCAGGTTGGAAGGGACCTTAAAGATCATCCAGTCTCATCCCCTGCCCTGGGCAGGGACACCTCCCACCAGACCAGGTTGCTCCAAGCCCCATCCAGCCTGGCCTTGGACACCTCCAGGGATGGGGCAGCCACAGCTTCTCTGGGCAACCTGGGCCAGGCTCTCACCACCCTCACAGCAAAGAATTACTCCCTGAGATCTCATCTAAATCTCCCCTCTTTCAGTTTAAAACCATTCCCCCTCGTCCTGTGGCTCCCCTCCCTGATCCAGCGTCCCTCCCCACCTCTCCTGGAGCCCCTTGAGGGACTGGAAGGGGCTCTAAGGTCTCCCCGGAGCCTTCTCTTCTCCAGGCTGAACCCCCCCAGCTCTCTCAGCCTGTCCTCATAGGAGAGGTTCTCCAGCCCCTCTGATCATCTTTGTGATGAAGTGGCATCTAGTTTTGCCTTTTTATTAAACAGATCATCTCCCCGTTTTTCTTTACCCCACTTTTCTTTTTTGACTCCTTTATAACCTATTCAAGGCCAGGTTGGATGGGACTCTGAGCTACCTGTTGAAGATGTCCCTGCTTATTGCTGGGAGGTTGGACTAGATGGCCTTCAAAGGTCCCTTGGTTGTCATCTTGTCCCCTGGCTGCAGGGATACCTCTTACCTTGGTGCCACTGTTGCTTCCAGCATACTCTGCCACCGTGTCTTCCTCCTCTGTCCCAGTGGAAGGACCACGCTCCTCTACTTTTCTCACCTGGCATGAATGGTGGCTTCAGCAGGAGGGAGGTGATAAACATGATTGGACCTACCCATCTTCATCCCGAGGTGGTCCTTCACACAACAAGCCTGGCAAGGTTCTCTGCTATTGTTGGGTTGGTTACAGGGTGCTCTCCTCATAAGCTCAGAGTGCTCTAGGAAGTGCTGTTCAGTAGATGATGTCCTTCTCATGCTGCAAGATACAATAGTGCCCATAAGCTAAACTTTGATCCTAAAACCTCTAAAACTTTAATCCTTATCTTAGGAAGTTGTCAAGTACCTCTTGGTGCTTGTGGTGGCCAGCAGGACTTCCAGGTCAATAGCACTGCTATGTGCTTGTCCTATTCCACCCTTCAGGAGGCACATTTCTCTGTGAGTATATTTCATAGCGTAATTCCAATATACCACACTTCGTTCTTCAGGATTGAATGTGTAAAATCAGATCCAGTTTGCTTTTGGATTCTGGTTTGTATGAACGCCAGTTAGAAGGTTGTTAAAGTCTCGCTTTCCATAATTTCACATTTTTTCAGCCACACTGGTTTGAACACGTGCTGCAATCTGCAGTCCCTGTGTCAGTCTCGGCATCATTCCTCTGTGGGGACACCTGAAAATGGTCTCACTTTATTTAAGGACTTAACGGAAGTTTCAGTGGATGCACAGAACTCCTGCAGAACCACAAGAGGGACATTGAGGTGCTGGAGCGGGTCCAGAGAAGGGCAACGAAGCTGGTGAGGGGTCTGGAGCACAAGTCTTACGAGGAGAGGCTGAGGGAACTGGAGTTGTTCAGTCTGGGGAAGAGGAGACTGAGGGGAGACCTTCTCGCTCTGTACAAGTACCTGAAAGGAGGCTGTAGAGAGGGAAAAAAGCATAGAATATCAGCAGTAAGGATGCATATTTTACTAAATATTTGGACAGATCTTTTTACTATTAATTGCAAGTATTTACCTATGGAGACAGTGCTCCTGCCAGCATTGCAACAGAAGTCTGGCTGGTCAGGGAAACTATTGTGACACTGAGGAAAATCTTGTCCTAAGGCCAAAAAAAATGGATAGACCTAAAAGTCGTCTTTTATAGGATATGGTTACACCTGCAACTTTGTTTTTTGGATTGGGGTGGGGGGGTTTTTTTTTTTTTTTTTTTTTTGTGGTTGGACTCGATGATCTCTGAGGTCCCTTCCAACCACTACAATTCTGTGATTCTGTGATTCTGAAAAGCCAGAAGACCACCTACTCAGCAGCCAGGCTTGGTCATCCCCACGATGATCCATCCCCAAGATCATTCTTTCTCCACTTCTGGAGCAGTCCCGTTTGGCTGACAGCACCGTGCACTCTGACAGGACATCTCCTGTAATAAATGTTAGAAGAGAGAACTGCTGGATGGCACCTGAAGAAACCAGTGCTTCCAAAGGTAAGGGGTTTTGGAGTATGGGTAGTTTGGGAGTCATTCTCTCATAGAACCATTTAGGTTGGAAAAGACCCTTGGGATCATCGACTCCAACCACATCATACAGTTCTGTGTGAATGTAGATGAGATGTTCTGTGTGAATGTAGAATGTATATGTTACTATAATTTATAATATTTCCTTTCCTGACTTCTTTTGTCAAGCATAAAATTTCAGACTTGTATGTAGTACAGCTGATGTGTACAGAATTATATAGGAAAAAGTGCTCGGCTGATGACAACTAGGTGTACTTATATCTGTTATACCCATTTACAGAAGCTGATTTACACCAACAGAGGACCTGATGCATCTTTTACTTGTCAAATGGTTGTATTT